CAGATTTGCAGATGGTAGTGGCAGAGCTGATTGATTTCTCTGTAACAACTGCTGCAGATTTGCAGATGGTAGTGGCAGAGCTGATTGATTTCTCTGTAACAACTGCTGCAGATTTGCAGATGGTAGTGGCAGAGCTGATTGATTTCTCTGTAACAACTGCTGCAGATTTGCAGATGGTAGTGGCAGAGATAATTGATTTCTCTGTAACAACTGCTGCAGATTTGCAGATGGTAGTGGCAGAGCTGATTGATTTCTCTGTAACAACTGCTGCAGATTTGCAGATGGTAGTGGCAGAGATAATTGATTTCTCTGTTATAACTGCTGCAGATTTGCAGATGGTAGGGGCAGAGATAATTGATTTCTCTGTTATAACTGCTGCAGATTTGCAGATGGTAGTGGCAGAGATAATTGATTTCTCTGTTATAACTGCTGCAGATTTGCAGATGGTAGGGGCAGAGATAATTGATTTCTCTGTTATAACTGCTGCAGATTTGCAGATGGGACTGGTACTGCTACTGGTCGACACTCAATACGCAGAAACAAGGCAAGCAAAGTAAAGTTAAGCAACCTTCTCATGCTTTATGCGCATCAGGTATGTAGTTAGTTAGTTGCGTATCCTTTTACAGTATTTTGCAGAACCAACCCTAACAGCCCCTGGCTGTTGTGTGGTTTCTCTAGGCAAGTTACATCCAGTAGTTTGCCATTGCTTTCTGGTCAGTCGGCTTTCTTGATACCACTGTCGAAACTAAAGCAAGGCGCATTGCCCGCAGCTGGGATCGAACCTGGCATCCCGGCCGTTCGCATCGAGTTAGCCACAGAGCCGACCAGGTATATAATACTAGATCTATATTTCCATAAACAAATGAGCACTCGATATATGATGTGGTCAACATCGCGCCCGCCGCCTTTAGACCCCAAGATATTACCTGGTACTTTATTTTTTTTAAACTGGGTCGACTTAGGAGCCAAAGTCAATTTTTAAAAGTCCCATTTTATGCGGAGAAAGGCAAACAGACAATATAATCCGGCTACAACTGAAAACGTGTGTATTGGAACTAGACACCTGTGCAGAAAATGGTGACGTAGCTTTTAGGGGAATGCCTGAATAATATTGTGACAGTCTGTAACACCTGATTGTAATGTTTTTTTTTAATGATCAATATGTGTTGGCAATAGAATGAAATACAACTGAATCAGTAAATGTTGACGTCATGATTCAAACAAATCTCTCTAAACATGCACACACACCCACACACACACACACCCACAACAACACACACATTTATGGCCAATATTGCAAATACCCATCCACCCACTCACAGGGGGCGCGGCAACATAGAGGCTTAAACATCTTGAGAACCCCAATAGGTGGATCGATCAGTCCCATTCCCTCCTTCCGGGCTCCTACCTACGGTTTACCATATCATAATGGGATTTCTTTAAATTCCAATCTGGACGGCAGACCAACAAGACAGATCCCAGATACCGCGCTTAACTCCCAAAGAAGTTATAATTACATCACCAGTAACTTCTTCACAAGCCAGGTGTCTCTTGCAGTCCTATGTAAGTAGGAACGCAAATAACACTGTAATGAAAATTTCAGGTCAGGATACCCTTGTGATGTTACTTATCTATGCGAGTAGATAAAGAAGCTGAAATACTTTGATAACACCAAGCGTCATTGCGGATTGGAAAACATAATAGCAGAAGGCGTCGTACCAGGAAGGAGAGGCAGGGGCGGACCAATACGAAGATAAATGTGACCCCTTGAATATAAAAGTTCACAAGGTGGGAGAGCTAGCAAGAAACCATGTTTCTTTAAGACAGACCGTAATGAGAGTGACGTTCTGTAAAGGACCTGCTACATGATGATGATGATGAGAGAAAATAACAATAATGGAATTGGGATGTTGTCAGCCTGACCCCGCTACCACCCATGGCTGGGTTAACACGTGATCCGTAATATAATTATATCTCTTCCCCTGTTGAAAAATAACTAATCTTAAATCGTTTGTATGCATTTACATTATAACAACTTTGATGCAATGCAAGATGTTAATGTTATTGAAACAATGGACAAAATAAACAATCGGTGGAAAGTAAAGCAAAAAAACTAAGGATCAGTTTTAAAAGCGAAAAGGACAAATGTAAACACCTGGCTCTAGGAGTTACAAGAAATAATCACAGACCTGATCTTATTTATTTTAGAATCCAGGTTAACTCTCTGACTTATTTTCTAGTTATCTCAATGAGGTCTGACTGTAGTTTATTCACCCTCCTATCCTGTGTTTTGTGTATTGCAGCGAAATTCGAAATTAATTGATTTAACCAAAAAAAAAATCAGGTTATTATCCATTATTGCACCGCTGACTTCCTTCATAGTATGCTAAAAGTTTGTGCACTCAGTGCACGAAATCCAGAACCTTGATGAGGTTTCCAATGTGCATATAAGAATCCACAAGTCTTCTGCGGTAAGTAGATTTGTCTTAGAGCGGTGTTTATAGAAACTTTGGCTGGTCTCCATGGTATCTGATTTCAAGATCACCATTGTAGTAGGGCAGGTGTTTTCCAGAACGTCACTCCAGTCACAACTCACCTGTCGGAATCTCAGCTTTTACCTGATCCAATGTCTTGTGTATTTGTATGCCTTCCAGTACTGTTCTTTTCCCAAATCCCTGCAACGTTTACTGTGTTTAACGCATTTCAGTTTATGGCATATTGTCGTGTAATATTAACTAAAACAGTCGCATATGGGGTTAGCTAACCTGTAATGAAGATAAAATACAAACAAAATCATAACCTAAATTCTAACGTTTTTGAAATTATGTCCCCGTCCTAACATGAAACGCAATGTTTTATTATTTCAAAGCCCCAGTCTGGCTGTAGACGGGAGCCCTAAATATAACCCATGGGTTGACAGGGGTTTGTGGGAGTTGCTCCCAGGGGATTCTCATCCGAATGGTGGCACTTAGGTTTAGACGACGGATCAACATCATGACACAAGTGTAGTAACCCATAAGTGCTCCGTTCTACTTCTGACTCAAGCCTGAGTCTGAAGTTTCTCAGCCCAGTGCACGAACTCTGTAGCACTGGCGAGGATCCTGAAATACTTTGTGTAGATTTTTAACTCCAAATTTTGCCTGGGCAATGCCGTTAGGCTACTCATTTAGATTTCCAACTGCCAAGATTTTTTTACGTGCGCAACAATATACACTGGCCTCCAATCTTACTAGCAAGAGCCCAGGAAAAATTACTAGAAGTCCACGTGAAAAAATCCCAGCCTTTTTTCACTTAACATTCTGAATACCCTAGGTACACTAATTGGATTAGCGAGACAGGACAACCATGCGGGAGCCACCCAACGTTAAATCAACAAGAACAGAATGGGAGTAAGTAAAGATCCCTTTTCACGCCTTTCGGCACATCGGGCATATGGGCAGAGCGTCCCATATTTTCACAGACCATCAGCACTCTGTGGGTAATGTGGTCAGCATTACGCCGGCTGTCTTTACTTTCCCAGGACAGCCCATCCTGGTACCCATTTTAGGCTGGGTCGACCTGCGACGTCCCATACCACGACAAAAATCCACGCAGCTGCAGTGGGTTTCGATCGCGGTATGCTGAGAATGGGAGTTGTTTGCCTAAAAACACTTGGAGATATACTCAAAAGTAGATCAGAGCATTATGGTTATGGCCAATGTGCGATAAAGATGATCACACAAATGAACAATGAACAATCTAATGTATTAGATATGTGGTGCTAACCATATTTAAATAGACAATTCGACAGTCTATGATTAGTGTGATCAGATCTTTGACTCCAGTGACATTTTATGGTACCATTTAAAGTGGAGTCTTGTGGGATTTTTTATAAAATAAAAACGTAAATTATCTGAAGATGACCGCTTACAATGAGAATGATGCTTTAAAAAGTAAATTGAACAACACATATTCTCACTATCCAGTTATATGTGACACTCATGAGACTGAAGTCACATAAACATAAGACTGATGCAATTCATCTACCTATCGGAATCAAATAAACATAAGACGGAGAATACAAATCGTCTGCATGGGAGTCACACAAACATAAGACAGACAGCACCTTCGGCCAACCTGGGATTACATAAACGTAAGACTGATGCCATTCATATATCTGGCAGTCAGACTGACACCTTTTATTTATCTGGGAGGCACAAAATGACTGAGAACATTCACCTCCCCGAGCATCACACAAACGTAAGACTGATAACATACACATCCTTAGGTGTCACACAAACGTAAGACTGATACCATACACATCCTTAGGTGTCACACAAACGTAAGTCTTAAACCGGCATTCGTCTTCCTGGAGGTCATAAAAACGACTACAACACATCCCCACTAGCGTAGATAAGAGTCACATAAACGTAAAACTGAAGAGACCAACTATTTGAAAATTGGACCTGTTCACGTTTCTAGGCCCGTCCGCCCATTCTCATTCTGATCTAGGTCATAGGGGTGTCACAATGTACTGATTTCTTCAAAAAAAGTCTCTCGTGTGACTAAGGTTGAGTCTGTGGGTTAGGGTTTGGGTTAGGGCCAGTTCTACACGTTCTGTGGTCGTTAAAGGCTGTATCGTCGTGTAGTATAGAACACGCGGCATCGGCGCTGATGTAATTCGAGGGAAGACAATGTGACACCTCTCCGACATAGAAAAGTCTGAGAAAGTATGAATGAAAAGTCAGGTAGTGTGATGGTGGGCCTGGATCGGTGAACAGGACCGGGAATTGATGTAAACCAGGGCTATTCAACTGGCATCCAGCAAGCCAAATCTGGCCCTCATAGGCTTAACAAGTGGCCCGCAGATCATTGCAGTTTGTGCTTGTATTAACGATCTTTCCAAGCTGTGGCTTGACCCTCTGGCCCCGATAATCCCTAGTTCAATAGATTGTAGCCCTGTGTAAACTTAGTTGAAAAGCCCTAGTGTCAACGTAAGACTGACAACAGCGTCCACTTACCTGCTGGAGAAGCTGCTTTCACGTGACTCACGTAGATGCCAAGACCAAACTCTGATCCACCCCTGACACTGAAGCCCATAGACTCACCACGAGATCCACAAATTGTCACCAATCGTTCTGTAGCCGTGGCAAGGACGCTGTTTGGCGGAGTGGTTATGCGACCTATGCAAATGTTGAAAAAAAAAATGTAACTTTTAATATCCTCAAAGGTTATAAGCTGCTAATGAACTTTCATTGTAATACACAAAGGAGTTTAAAAAAAGCCAAGACAAAGATAGTTGATGACAAACATCTAAGGAGACAGTCTCCAACGTTTTACCACATTATGAGAATAACATGTGACAACGACATACATTTATGGAAAGAAGTACAAAGGAAAATAAAGAATGGCTATTCTAAAAAAAAAAAAAAGAAGTTTTTCACTTCTCGAAAATGTGTTAACGCACGAATAATCACCAACTACTAGAGATTGATCGTTGAAAAAAAACAAAAAAACGCATGATCATTCAGTAAATAAGGCACATCACTAGGCTGTATGTATGTATGTATGTATGTATGTATGTATGGATGGATGGATGGATGGATGGATGGATGGATGGATGGATGGATGGATGGATGGATGGATGGATGGATGGATGGATGGATGGATGGATGGATGGATGGATGGATGTATGTATGTATGTATGTATGTATGTATGTATGTACACATACATATATTTACAAATACACAAACATGCACACACTCACACACATACATAATTCTTTTTATTTCACTAGCAGCTATTCATGTGTAGGCTTAAAATACTTGATAACAAACACATAATAAATATTCTACAAGAAAATCAGCATAATGTCTTCCTTCCGTTATTAATTAGGATTATAAAGATACCAGAGTGGATAAAACGAAACTGAAAACATCGGCCTATGGTTTCAGAAAATTTAGGAAGCAATGACTCGAAGGGATATATACATTCTGCACAGAAAAGTTATAAATTTTTTTTTCTTATGCAGACTTTTAAACCTTTTCTTGTAAGACAAGCAGGCTGGTAGTCACAAACGGTAATACATCACAGAACTAATATGTTTATGATAGGTCTTTAAGCTACAAACGTATCCAACCAAGTAGAATACACACGTGTGTACAGTCAAAGCGTGTAGTCGTATGAATGAAAGATGCGTTAACAACAACTACAATTAAAACGTGTACCTGACACATGCTATATAAGGGCACGACTAAGAAGCAAGTGCATAAATAAATACATGGCGAACACTTACCTCCCTCTAATGTGATACAGATTGATAATAACATTTGGGAATAACCGCAGGATGCAACTGTAATTGTCAGTGACGCTGATACAAAGAAACCACAGTGTGGGGGTGGAAAAGCGGGTTGAGGGAAAAGTGGGAAAGGGGGGGGGGGGTTTAAGACCTTTATACATTTTCCAGACGGCGGGCGTAGGGTTCGAGGGGCTTTCTTGTTTACATTAGTGAAAATTTAAAGTAAGGGACCATTTCAGGCTATTGGCATATGGGGTTAGATTTTTATTATTGTAGACAAAATGACTCTCGAGGGGTGATGTGGTCAGTATCATATCAGCCGCCCTTACTTCACAGTACTTTCCTTGGTACCAGTTTCAGGTTGGTTCTACCCAGAAGCTGTGGTCTTTAAAAAAAAAAAAAAATCATCGCACTCGAGGCACTGTAGTCAACATCACGTCGACCGCCTTTACTTTTCAGAGTATTACCTGGTGCCTACTCAAGGCTGAGTCGATCTCGAGCAAATGTCGTTCTTAAAAAAAAAAAAAAAAAGTCATTCTACCTCAGGACCTCTGCGGCCTTTATTAGTATGTGTGAATGGCAAGTTCACATAATAGTTTATCTAAAATCCTAGGACACTTATAAACAAACAGATAAACAGAGAAATGTTGTATATAGTTAGGGTGAGAGGGGGGGGGGAGGGGTTGTGGTGGGGGTGGTGAATGTTCTAGGAGGAGAGGGTGGAGGGGCTAATCCCACCCTAACAGATTACCGAGACAGAGGGTGACTTTTGTCTTTACATCCCCATGGAAAGGGGGGGGGGGGTTCAAGGACCAGAGCCCTAGTATTGCGGCACCCCTGGTAATAACAAGATACATTCTAGAACAGCGGTTCTCAGCTTATGGGTCGCGACCTAGGGGGGGGGAAGGGGGGGGGGGGTCGAAGGACCCTTTCACAGGGGTCATTAAAGACCATCACAAAACACATATTCATTAAAGTTATGAAGTACCAACGAACATAATTGTAGGGTGGGGGTCGCCACAACATGATAAATTGTATTAAAGGGTCGCGGCGTTAGAAAGGTTGAGAACCACTATTCTAGAACAACGGCTGTGTGAATTCGATGTAAAGAACACTTAAGACTGTTGAATGACATGAAAAAAAAACAAACTATTATTAAGACACCAGTCGCCCTGAAAGAACAATATGACGGCCTTGTTTCCATTATCTACCTTGTTCAGACTGTAAGAAAGGAAAAATGGGACGTTATTGGGTATAATGTGTGTTCATGGAACACAGTCAGAATGTATGGGGCACAACAGGTCTATGCTTTGTGTATTTTTCTTCACATGAGTAGTTGGGTTTCCTGCATTTTAGAGCTAAAAATAATGAATTAGCTGCGCATGTGAAAAAGAGAACAAAATTAATTGTTGCTAAGAGTGCAAATCAAAAGACAGGAAGCTTACAAGTACTTGGGAAAACACAACATTGTAAGAGTAGAAATTCAATTTATTATAGTCAAAAATAAAGTAAAGATCAATTTTAACGCCTTAAAAGCCTCGGGCAAATGAGAAAAGCATACATATTTTTACAGACCAGTCGGCAGTAGGTGGGTAGTTAGCATTACGCCACCCGTCTATACTTCCCCAGGACATACATCCTGGCTCCCATTTTGGGCTAGGTCGACCTGCGATGCTCCATACTGTGATAAAAATCGACGCAGCCAGTAGTAGGTTTCGATGGCGGTACATTGGAAATACGAGTCGGACTCCCAACGCCTAAGCTACGAACGCCGACAGTCTATTATTGTTGGAAATAATGTATTCAATGCTCTACAACATCCGCTAAAATTAAATAGCTTAATTCTGTGGCACCAAAATGGCTACTTATAGAACACCGCTAGGACCAGTTGTCCTATATGGCTCTGAAACACGAATCTTTGGACCAATCAAAGATACAAACAACGGAGAGTAGTGAATGAGCAGTAACAACGAAATTCAAAATCTGTTCAAATCACCACTAATGACTAATGCCTAGGGTTTATTGAAAGACGTTTGCGGTTTCAGGTTTGAACAACGGATCAACAACATGGTACACATTTAGGAAACCATAAGTGCTCCGTTCTTCTTCTAACTCAGGTCTGAGTCCGAAGAGGTTCAGCACAGTGCACAGTTCCTGGAGCACCGGCGAGGATTCTGAAATACTTTGGGTTGTTTTTAACTCAAAATTTTGCCCGGGCAGCGCCATTTAGCTACTCTTTTCGAATTCCAGGTCCGAGGGATTTTGTTTACGTGCGCAACAATGCACACGGGCGTCCGATCTCACTACCCAGAGACCGGAGGGGGGGGGGGGAAGGGGGATTACTATAAGTCCAAGTCCACGTGAAAAAATTCAAGCCCTTACCGGGGGTTGAGCCCGGAACCTCTAGTACTCGAGGTGGACACCAAGCTTCGAGACCACGGAGCTCTACTTTTTGAGAGAATAGTAGACAATAGAAAAATGGAAAAGCGTACACAAAGGGTTTAATGTGAGTGAACTACTAGGCAGATCGAGAAGACGGCGGATAAATAAAGTTCCTACAAACACATAAAGTCTTTAGCTGGGAAAGAAGACTAATGATTGCAATGAATGAAGACCGTGATATCTGCAACAATACAGCTCAATGGCAAGGGATGCTGCGGAAAAAGGACGACGCAGCAGCAGCAGCAGCAGAATAAGAAGAAGAAGAAGAAGAAGAAGAAGAAGAAGAAGAAGAAGAATAAGAAGAAGAAGAAGAAGAAGAAGAAAAGAAGACCAAGAAGAAGATATTGCAAAAGAGGTTAAACTAATTTCTATAAGGGAAACAATTTAAAAAATGACAAACATACAAGCACTTCAGACAGTTAGGCTTTGAAAAGATACACAGCTGGTTGACCCTGTTGTGTTATTAATAATGCACACAAATATTAATTGATGGGGAACACTTGAGTCCATCGCAACAGCATGTTATAACATTGTCAGTGCAGGAGATAACAACATACAGCGACATAACACTGGCATTGATGAACAATGTATGTAGTACAAATGGAAGGCTAATAATTACGTCTAGAATATACAATAGAAATCGTCCCCGTGTGGGATGCAATTTTTTGTTATTTGCAGCCACACCCTGGCTTCTGCCGGGGGTCCTGAATATAACCGGGGCATAGATATTGCCTAGCCATAGATATGGCTTAACGGCTGAAAGGGGCTTCTGGGACCTGTCCACCGGTGATTCTCATCCGCATGGTGGCACTTTGTGTCATTGGTTGTTTATCGCTTGTTTGATGTCCTGGTTGGCTACAACCACCTACTTAGGTCTAGCATTATATATTCCAATATGCCCCTGAATGCATAGAGCAGGTTCCTTTATTTACTTACAAATAGAAGACGAATTCGAAAAGTAGTCACTGTAAATGAAGAAAGGATGGGACCATATGTTCATCATACAACTCCTAGATTATAAGAAAAAACTTATATTTTATTGAAGGTATTTACTCTGTAAAAAACATTGTGTTAAACGGGAAGTAAAATACTTCAAGTTAAATGGTGAAGACTGATTTCCACTAAGATGATGTTGTTTTCAGAAAGCCAGCATCTCGTCTCGTAGATAGGACCCACCCCAGTGCATTAGTAAAAGCCGGGCATCTTAGATCTCGGCTTTGTGGGTGTTTGAGAATATATTTAACAGTCGCAGCAGGGCCATTGGGTCAGCTTGGAGAGCGCATTGCCAAGAATACTCACATGAGGTGAGATCTGGCGGATGACCCCACTGCGACTGAGCTTTATCGTTCGTTCGGCGTACGATGTATTGCCGTCTGGAGTTAACATTGTTAAATGGTCTGCGACTAACGATCCGACCTGCCCGTTGTGTAAAGCGAAGCAGA